GTGTGTGTGTGTGTGTGTGTGTGTGTGTGTGTGTGTATGTGTGTGTGTGTGTGGAGTTTGCACATTGCTCCTGTTTTGTGTACATTTCCCCCAAGGAGTCTGTTTTCCTGCCACAATCAAAAAAACATGTGGTTATGTGAATTTGCAGGCCTAAATTGCCAAAGGTTTTATGAGCGTGTTTGTGTGCCCTTATATGGTCTAACATCCTGTCCTGGGCACCCATTTCCTGTTGCCTTGCGCCACCTTGGGATGAGATCCAGTCTGACATCATCCCTGCACTCCATTATTGAATGTGGAACATGAATAGAGACGCTACACCTTAACCAATACTGTGCCTAAGAAGTTTGAAAAGGAGGTTAATCAAACTGATGCCTTGAATATAGTTATTTAGTTACAGGATGTTCTTTGTCAGTGGCTCAATCGGTCAACAAAGATGACGTCGTTTGTTAAAGGGGAAACATTGTCTCCCGATTAGGCATTTATCCAGTAGAGTTGACCTTAACACTAGTAGCCTGAGTCCATGAGAAAATGCTATTCAGGGCTTCAGGATCGATCATGTAAGAATTTGTCAATGATGTGATATGTTTTTCATTCACAAATTGTATTATTATTAATAATACATTATCGGCTTCTATTACATCAAGAATGGAAAAAGTATTATGTTATTGGCAACACAAATCCACGGTTGACTCAGATCTTGTAGTGACAGGTGTAACCACAGTGACTTCCGTCTACTGGGACGTCATGTGCATACCCTCTATAGAGAAACTTCTGTAAGTAACTTTCACCTTGTCAAGGCATTCGATCACAAAAAAACAAAACAAAACAATATGTACCTGACCAGGTTCTAGTGGTTTAAACTCGTATATTGGTCTGTTCCTGAGACTTGGACAACTGGACAAATATTTTAACACATGATGAGGTAACCGATATTTAAAATAAATTTGACATTTGAGACAGAAGGGATTTCAAAAGTAATACCCAGCTAAGAGGGAATATTCCCAGAACTTTAGCCAATGTTATGTGAAGGTCTTCACAAAGTCGGCAGAGAACGTTTTTACTGTAACATCAATGGAACGTCAATGGAACGTCATTTCCACATTTTACATTTTAATAAAGGTCCTGTCAATCTCAGCACAGTAACTGTACTGCGAACATGCTGCCCGCCTGGGCCGTGTGTGTTACCCACTGCCCTACTATGTCCTCCCTTTATTCTCATATTATTAGGCATAGTTGTATGAGTAGTTTAGTTGTGGGATAATATTCTGGGAACATCAGGTAAACTGAACACTTTGAACGTTTCCATACCTTAATCGTAACATTCGGTAAACATTCCTAAAATGAAAATTTGTTAGTGGGGTAGAATATAAGCTCGTATTAATTGAAGTGCGAGTGAAACAACTACCCCATGCTACACACACAAAAAAAGTTAATAAAAACGTGCCTGCTTATTAATAACATTGAACATTTATATTCAAATGGAGGGGGGCAATGGCACTACAAATTATAAGAGATTATGAATTCTTTACAAGTCTAATGAGTTAAGTCCTATCCAATACATCAGTGAGTAAATCTTTTAACCTCATTTAAATCTCATACACTAAAACAACTACATAGAAATAAAAATATTCTTATGGAAATTTCAATTTGCATCTGCATTAAATAAAAATTAATTGTCAGACAAGAGATCTTCCCTATATGGACATACAGCTAAAAAGAGAAAATCAAAGCCTGGGACAAACAGGCCGTGAAAAGAGCAGCGGTTATTTTTATGATACTGTATGTATCTGCAGGAAATATCTCAGAGTCGTTCTCTTCTGCATATCTATTTATGTAATTCAGCCAGTGGGGGGGTTATGGATTGTGGGAGCTGATAAGAACCTAAAACCTTGAAGTGGTGAGGAATCACTGATTCCCTGCGACCGGCTTCCAGATTGACCGTATGTTTCCAACATACGTATATAACACACACACACACACACACACACACACACACACACATATATATATTTTGTCTCTTTTGCATTGTACACATGTTCATCTGTGCTATGTTCTCTCATGGCTGTATGCACATTTCCACCTGGGATCAATAAAGTTCATCCTAATCTTAGTATATGATGGCCAGAAGAGAACTGAATAAATGCAGCATCTATGAATGAGACTGGTTGGTAAGATTTGGTCATTCCCGTTACTACATTTTGGCCTCATGGAGACTATTCTGGCTGGCCTCCCTGTTTTTGATCACACTAATACATCTGTGCCCCTGTCGCCTATCAGCATTTATCGTTTCCAAATGCCACAAAACCCTGCATTCTCCCTTAAAAGCTCAACAGTTGGGATTAAGTTATTTTTGGTATATGTGTATTACATTGGCAAAGAGGCTTAGCTGTTTGTTTCTTAAAGGATGGGCAGTTCAGCTAGAGCAGGGGTGGCCAATCTTATCCGCAAAGGGCCGGTGTGTGTGCAGGTTTTTGCTGCAGCTCCCTAATTATATTACTAATTAGAGGACTGATTGGCTGAAGAGTCCTCACACCTGGGTTTGAACAGCTGACTTAAAGGTTACTCCAAAAACCTGCATACACACCGGCCCTTTGCGGATAAGATTGGCCACCACTGAGCTAGAGGATATGAGCTGCTCTCCTCTAGCCACTTGTGGATGAACTACAGTTGAACTGCATCATTGAGCATGGAGGGAAGGGCATCCAATCTGATTCTGACCCTGATGGCTGTAAAGATGGTGCTGCTTAGTTCCTGTTTACTCCTCATAAAGCAGCAGTCCAAGGCATGAATTACTGATGAGGAACCAGAGGGTTTAAAAATAGAGATGATGCCGGTATAATGGCAAGAAATACCAGTGGCCTAGAGGTGGCATGGATGGAAAAAAAAAACACCCCATTTTGATCTCACCCCGCTGTCATACTCTCCCGTCTTGAGTAGAGCCATGAATGGCCACATTTCCATGCTCAAGGGGCTCTGGTATCAGCGCATCTGTGTCTCTCTCACTGAACAGACTGCCCTGCCACGGAAGCAGAATGCAAGTCTTTCAGAATAACTCAGCAATGAAATAACCAATCACAGGGAAACAGGGGCGCGGCTAAGGAGTCGTAGGCCACTTAACTAGTGATGGCCAAATGAAGCTTCATGAACCATTTGCGGTATTTTCTGACCCCACTAGATGGTGCTCTTGGTTTGCATTGGGGGATACTTTGATCCCGTTTTTTGGACAGATAGCACCATCTAGTGGTGTCAGAAAATACAGCAAATGGTTCATGAAGCTTCATTTGACCATCACAACCCTTAACCACTATTATAATTCAGGCACCCTATCCAGGTATGGCTCCAGCTCATCATCATGATCATTCATGCCCCCTCCTTCCATTTCCCACCTCAATCCGAGTGTCCTGTTTAACTTTTATGACTTCTTTCCCTCTGCTCTTCCAGGGGTGTGGTATTCACAGGCACTGGAGGTATCTGTGGGTAAGGTACATTATGTCGAGGCTGTGAATGGCAGCACTGTCCTTCTGCCCTGCACCTACAGCAGCTGCATTGGCATCAAGAACCTCTACTTCAACTGGCAATACAACGACAACGGCACCATGGAGAAGGTGACCAATACCGTCTGACTTCATAATGACTTCATAATGACTTCATAATGACTTCATAGTGACTTCATAATACTTGACAGATGTCAAGTATTATGATAAATGTTCAGGGAAATTTTCACTGGATCTAAAGTGAGCTTCAATTTTGGCAGAGAATAAACTGCACAGACTATATTTTGAGTTTGAGTAAGAACTTTTTAATGTTACTACTTCAACACGTCTGAGAACATACCTGAGGAGTCTTGGATTCCTCAGAAGTGCCACAATTTGCCTTCAAAAACCTTACTTCACAAGCACTAGAAATCTCCCATCTCCTTGATCTCCCATCTGTCCAGCTCATCCCATTCAAATTCTATGGATCTGAAATCTGGAGACTATGTATTAAGATAAGGCCATTAATTTTGATTGTCCTTTACTTACCTTCTCTGCCATATAGATCTTGTACAGTTTTGTACTGAAGTATACTACTTTGTACCTGAATTCATTCACTGCTGTTCCCCAATTCCCATTCCATCCAAAACTTCCAGCTGTGTGAGGCAGTCATCCCCATCGAAGGCGTGGACCCACACGTGCGGGTCTATCACGAGCGGGTAGAGTACGTGGGAACCAGCAAACAAAACAACATCTCCATCCTACTGTGGAACATCACCTACAGCGATGAAGGGGAGTACACATGTTTCGCTCGCAACCCTAAGGAAAAGAATCGCAACCACAGTGCCATCTTCACACTTATTGTGGTGGACGAGCGTAAGTCTGCTACTTGGGACACCCTGTAACGAAACACTGGGAGCCCAGGTGTTCACGCAATGGGATACAATACTGAAGAGAGCATTTTAATATCAACCAATGGTTTCTTTTCTTTTGCAGTGAAGGTGATTGACAACACATTGACAGTCATCATTTTGTCCGTAGTAGGAGGTATTATTGGCTTGATCATTCTCGTAATGGTGATGAGGGCCCTCATTCAACTCATCATGCGCAAGGTCCAAGAGAAGAAGTGAGTGACATCAATGGAGGGTTGGGGTGGTACAAAGAGAAAGGAAATGCACTAGATACCACGGTACATATAATCACTGTAGAAATGTACAGCAAGGTCACAGGTAGTACTGTAATGTAGAAACTTTAAACAAAAAGCTGTATTAGGGAGAACAGTCAGTAGGATATACATAAATACATTGGTGAGACTGTCGGTGTTGCACATTTCCTATAAGGACAAGTAAAAGGGATTTTTTTTAATATCCCTCTAAATTTTAATATATACAAATTTTCATTTCAATAAGCAACTGTACTTGAAGGATGAAATAATTTGACTTGCGCAAGAGACGTTTTATAACGGTAACCCTCAAAGGAGATTCTAGGCTTTTCTCCCAGGGGCTGCGAGGTGAGAGAGCCCAACCAGTCATTCATCTAGATAAATAAATTTGAAGGGGGAAAAAAAAGTAAATACTTTACAATAAGATATTATTACACATTTATACGACTAACACAAGCCATATTTTCTTATAAATTCACAATATTCAGTCACCCCTTCACATTCGCGAGGGTTAGGGGCAGAAGATCCAAGCGAATGTGAAAATTCATGAATAGTATTAGAGCCCCTCAAACTCACCCCATAACATTCTGCTAGCCTGAACGATGACGTAAACAGTCTATTTATTACCAGTGTCTAAACAAATAGTACTGCACTGTAGACACTGTCATTTCCTATCAAGGCCTTTTATATAATATACAAACCATCTAAATTATGCCGCTGTATGAAAAAGGTTATTACCGTGTCCACTCGGAGCACTACATTTTGGACCTATTATTAAAAAAGCACTGAAACAAGCATGGAAAACTGAAAAGGTTACTGCATGAAAAGCGAGATGTCATGGTCACACCTGAGTGAGGCTAGTTGCTGAGACAAAAATGCATGGCGTACCCAAGCCAAGATGAGTAAATCACGCGTTTTTTTTTTTTTTTTTTTAACCAAAAATAAGTTGTATGATCCAAATCATTTTCAGTATAGTACATTTATATATTTGTGACTTACGTGTCGTCTGCAAGTTTCTGCGCTCTTTTGGTAAGTTACAAAAATATTCCCATGTAATTGTTTATGGCCTACTTGTGCGTAACTGAAACCACAAATGTCGAATAGGTGAATCTAGAGGGATGACTGTAATTTTACTTTATCGAACTTTAATATTTTCAAATACATTTTCGTCTGACCAGTAGGGGGTGCAATTGCACCTCCAGCAAAATCACCTATTGTAACCCTAGCCCTAAACGTAACTTTGTACCATAACCTTGTAGCAAACATATAGTGAGGTCCTGTCCCTGACTACACTTGGCTACCAGTCTCTCACATCCCTCTGTTTTCCCCAACAGTAAAGAGTGCCTTGTGAGTTCTTCAGGGATTGACAACACGGAGAACGGCCTTTCTGGAGCCAAAGCTGAGACCAAGGCGACACCAAAGGCTTGAAAACATGTCTGTTTGTATCTATATATCTATCTATCTATATATATATATTTATACATGTATATATGTATACAGGCAAAAAAAATATATATATATATGTGTTAAATAGGTACATAGAAAGAATATTACAAAAAAGGACTGTTTTTCTTTAACTACCGAAAACTTATTATATATAAGTATATGACAAATATATACATATATATTTTAAATTTTGCTTGAGAATGGGGAACATGAGATGTACCCTGTAATCTCTCTGGGCTGGATCTGCGCACCCCCATGACTACCCAAGGTGAAGACTGCACTCAAAACCGAAGTCAATCCAGATTGTCCCGGTGTGAATACAACAGAACACTTTCACGAAAGTCGACTCACTGCCTGTAAGACAACAAACTGGATACCCTCAGTAAAATGGCATCCACATTCAGAGAGTAACTGATGATCTGTGGCCCAATATAGTTGTGTTCAGTCCGGCTTTGCATTGAAATTAACAGTAAATCACACACTGCCACACTGCTAAGTGCCATATATGTATTACAGCACAAAAATCAAATTCCAGGCTTGGTTTCCTGGTTTTACAGTTTTAAGATTCTTGCCGTAAGCCTCACACCCTGATCAATACTTTTTTTTTTGTGAAGGGGATTTTAAATTCTGAAACCACATACATGGTTCAGATGTTAATCCAAGACATAAGAACAGGAGAAATTTCTTAGACACAGCACTGGATTTAATTTTAGACACGATGATGAATCGACACACTGTGGATAATTCAATGCAATACTTGACTGTATACAAGTATATAAAATATTCCAAAATTGCAGTTCTGCTGACAGGTTGATTTGGAGGATTAGCGTGTTAGCACTGAGGTAAACCGGTTCACAGAATGAATGTGGGATGCTGAGCAGTCATTGGAGTGTGGATCTGGATCCATTCCAGTTCTGGTTCAATTCACTTTGCTTTAGATGAAACACAGGTGCCTGTTAAAGCTAGTAGCCTCCTCTGCTTTAAGCGAGGACATAACCTGCTACAAAAAAACAAGAAATATAAAAACAGCAACAAAAAAACAATAAAACACCTTTAAAAAGCAAAATAAAAAAATGATAAAAAAAAGACAATCCCTAAAAACTGATCCCTCGTAGAAAATGAATGAACTATTACGATGCTGCTTCTAACAATTAGCTGATGCATTTTTTTAGCATGTGAAAATATTTTATATACATAATGCTCAACACGGGAAATACTGCTTATTTATTTTTCAGTATTCTTTGCTTTCCACCCCCCCCTTTGTGTCACCAATTTGAACTTCAAGGTGGTTCAAACTCCATGCATGCAAGGTCAGCTGAAAATCTGGGCGATGGAGAACATGGCAGGGCCAGAGTTTCCATGGGTCAGAAATTTTCTGCTAAGCACCACTGCCAAAGCCCACTTTGGTGTCCACCACAGAGCCCCACCTCACCTTCCTCTGCGTCCTTGGCCCTTGCTAATGAGCGACTAAAATAAGCCCTGAGATCCATATACTGCTTATGTGATACTCCAGAATAGAAGTTCATCTTGTCATCTTGCTCATGGTAAAGTGTTGAAAGGCCTCTGGTAAGTCAGGCGAATTCTCTTACAAAGTTAGAAAGTACATGCCTGGTCATACTCCAGATGCCATAGAAGTTTTGTTTATGAAGAAGGAAGGTTGAAAATAATGGCAGGGAATTCATTCGACAGTAACTTTCGAATGCACAAACTTGTATCACAGATGTACGAGGACAAGTTCACTGGAACTCAGTGTAACTAGGTTCTGCACAGTGTAACCCAGGTAACATCATTAAAGTATCCATACATCCACCCATCCTCCAACCACTTGCCTTCAATAGGTTCTCAGGTGGGTGTAGGGTCTGGAACTTACTCTAAGCAACACAGGCCACAAGGTAAACACCATAAATGAGACATAATACGGTAATATTTTTAGGTGACACACTCCAGAGATAAATAGAATCATTTCATCTAGTCTTTTAGTTCAGTGCCAAGGTCTGTAGAAGTGTAGCATTATTCTGCTGCAGAATCCAAAGTGCATAGGTCAACCAAAGGTCACCAGCAGAGGGCACTGTGAGGTGTTGCTAAAGTGCAATGGTGGGCACTAGAGTCCGGCCCAAGTGCAACAATGATACATTTGAGAAACAAATGTAATCAGTTATATTGCCAAACAGTGATAAATATCAGTATTATTATAGTATATTCAGAAATCCTTTACCCTAAAGCTTTCCCATGTATATTTTAATTCTAAAGAAAATATATCAACGAATGATGCATCAGTACCTCTTTAATCTAATGTTGCCATTTAACGTTGCTAATATACCTCTTCACATTGCTTTTGTGCATTAACTGCAGAACAACTGTCACTGAATGTTACTTTGAATCATTCAGCTGCTGGAATTGTACATGCATATGCCTGCTCCCACCACGGCAGGGTGGGGGGGTGGCGGGGAAAGCATTTTCTGGCACTTTAACAATGGAGGTTCACCAGTGTTTGAGCGTGCGGTATATCGTTTTAAAAGAATGATACAGATGCAATGCATCGTGGGGCAGGAATGGAAGATGTGCAGTGATTAGCCATATTTTGAAAGAATATGAAGATGAATATTGCCACCTTCCACCTTGACGAGCACATGCCAGCAAGTGTTTTTAAGAAAAAAAAAAGACACTTAATTTTCCTGCAGCAATTGGGGAGCCGCTACAGCCTGAGGGGTGAGTAGGGTCATACTTCCTGGGCAGAGTGGGAAGGTACATTTGAGGAAGCCGTCTGGGGCCATGCTGAGCCCTGGGGAGTCAAAGCGGCATAGTTCATGACTCAGTCACCTTCAGGCTGAACGTTTGCTTCTCCACTTCCCACAGGACCTGCATTGACTCAATTAACACTTTATCACACTGTGCTTGTTTTTGGAATTTAGTTTTCATTCTTAGATAATAATAATATCGCTAGCAATAATAAACGTAATCGTGCTTATTTTAAGAAATCAGGCAATGCAATAGGCAGCATTAATGATGCATGTGCCCAGTACATCCCTGACAGCCATCAATCCTTGATCTTGACATGGAATTAAAGCCTGGAGTTGCTTTGTCTATCGAATGCACTATTTTTTTTAGCTGTTCCTATTGGTCAGGGCATGCTAACTTTTCGCTCTCATTCTTTTGTAAGAAAATGGCACTAAGAAATGTGCCATTTTTAATTTCCTGTCAGCTGCCGGCCTCTGCCTAGGAGGAGGCCTGTGGCGACATGAATACCGTGTTTGTGATGGATCACCGACGCATGTACACACAGAAAAACACACAGGATGAACAACCAGCAAGGCCAGAAGCTTTTTGTCAAAGGAATGCTTGCCTAAGTTGCTAGCAGAGAATTAGATGTGCAAAAAAGGTTCATCACTCACTGTGACTGACGAGTCGATACGTTTGTGATATATGGTGTAAGTTCTCTAAGCTCCTATATATTGTTAAGCTCACTGACAGCCTGATCCAAGCATAATTGCAGACTGACAGGTGGGGGGGGGGAAACAATCTCTATCTCCTGTTGTGTTTTTCTGTTTAATCATCCTGTTTGGTTTTTCTCCGGGAGAGTCACTGAGACCTTTAGCACAAGCAAAGGCTAAAACCTGACTTATTTCTTCCAGAAATGTTCCCATCTCGGATTACTGTGTCAAGTGTAGTTAAAGAATTCTCAGTCTCTGGGCTCGACTGCTTAGGTCTGGCTGTAACAGGGCTGGGAGGACCGTGTCATAGTGTCGTAAAAGGCTCATTGCATGCCTCCTCCCCTCCCTCCCCCCAAACCTGCACCACAGTGAAATACATACGGCTCTCACCTAACCAGGATTCCACGATGGCAGCTGGGCCTCTACAAAGGCATGTGCTCAGGCAGCATGAAACTTAATAATAAACTTAATAATCTATATTAAAAAGCTGGGCTTCAACACATCTTAAGCAGGGGACCAATGGGGTCTAAATTTCCAGGCCTGTTTTTCCACATAAAAAATATGACTAGTAAATACTAAAATTTATGTTGTTCTCTTTGGAAAACAATGGATATTTTTTCAATTTCAGACACGTGATCTAAGAGAAAAAAAAAGTGATTCAAAAGTACAAATCCTGATAATACTGCAGTTTTTACCTGAATTTTAAATGACTGCCCATGGCTCACTGCCTGAGCGGCTCCTGCTCTCACTGCCACGCCATGAGTTTGTGAAGTCTGCTCTCTGCTCGACACATTCCAGCGCAGAGATGGCCGTCGGGTCTCCTCGCAGGCTGCCCCTCGTTCACCCAGCTGTTCCTCCTGCACCCCAATGGTGGACAAACCGTAGCCCATCTACAATCCAGTTGCGATCTGACCCTTGTGGTCGACGCCGCGAGAGAGGCTAAAGTTTCCCGCTGACGGCCAACCCGCACCGGCTTTCGTAGGAGCTTTCGGGACGGTCTGACGGCACGCCACACAATGGCGCCAATATGGCGGACAGGATGGGAGAGTCCGTAAGCGAGATCCACACACACACGTGCAGCCACGAGGCAGGAACATCTACATAGATGGCTTCACTTTGACCTCTACTGCACATCCACATTTCATTAGAGGTTGAGCCGTTTTCATCAGACGTTCACCCCCTCCCCCCCATTTTGAAATGCTACTGTACTTTGTGGGTCAAAAAAAATGGGGAAAGCTAGCTTTGGCTCTGTGCAGCCCTTGACAGAGACCCCACCCCCCCCCTTACCCCAGGCTCTGCTATAATTCTCTGTGGGACACTTTGTCGCCCCACTCAGTTCCTCTGTCCTCACAGCTTGTTTCAGAACAAAAATAAAAAAGCGAATGTGCAACCGATTCCACCTTGTCCTCTTTACAATATCCTTCATCTACCTGCTCATGACTATGCACTAAAGTAGTTTATCTGGATTGTAAAAAAAAAAAGTATCTATTAAAAATAAAACTTTGGATAAAAGCTGCTTGTTGGGCTGATCTGTGTGTAACTTGTGTCCAGAACTTGACCCCTTAATATCACATCTGCTGCAACTTTTTCACTGAAAGTCACATGCAAAAATAATCAATTATTCAAAACCCCCCCCCCCCCAACCTATATTTGATGCCGTTTATCCAGCATTGCGTTAATGCTTATCCCAGGAAGCACATGGCAATAGGTAAGGAACACCTGGGATAGGATGCCATTGGTGAAAACCAGGCATGGACTGGCCATGGGGAAGTCTGGGAATGTTCCCGGTGGGCTGATCTTGTGAGGGCCGGTCTTTCTTCCCCGTCCCCGCCATAGTATAGTCGATATGTAGCCATATATTGCACAGCCAACCGGTTAATCGTGATGTCAACTGACATGAACAAAGAAGAACACATTCGTTTTCATATCTTTGTGGGGACTGTCCATTCATTTCAATGGGAAAACCCTAATCCCAACGACAACTTTCACCCCTACCCAGCCCTAACTTTAACCGTAAGAAACCAAAACAAATACATTTCTATAAAATTTGAGGTTCCTCTCTGGTCTCCACAATGTAATATATACATAACCCACACACAAAATAACATCCAAGGTAGGAATCAACACAGATAAGCCTTGAAATACAAACCATGTTAAATATTTTAAATGTTATTTTTCCCCCCCCAAACATAAAACGGAAGCTCCATACAGTTCACAAAAAATAGCTTTATTGCACATTATATTCACAAAGACAAGGAACCATACCACCAATTGTACATATCTTTCAAGTTTACACTACTTACATGGAAATGGAGCGAGTAAAATGTCTATAAAACAAAAAAAAATCCTTTCCAACCATTACATCACAGGGTCTAAACACTCAGATTTAGAAAATAATGTAAACAGTCCAGAGTACACCAGAGCTGGGATGGAGCATTAAAATTTTTTTTAAATAAATAAACCCATTCACACACACACACACACACACACACAAAATCATCGGCTAAAAGAATTGAACAATTAGAGTTTTTTTTGCCCCAAATGACAGACACAAGCCCACCTGTACAGAAAGAGCCTCAAATTTTTTTTTTTAAATAAATAAACCCATTCACACACACACACACACACACACACACACACACACACACACACACACACACAATTTAAAAATCATCGGCTAAAAGAATTTTATGAATTGAGTGCAAGGTAACTTTCAGGAATTAGTTTTTTTTTTTTTTTTTTTTTTAAATATACATTTTGGGTGTAAACATTTTAGGTTGGTGTCTTTCAGAGGAACCCTGAGAATTCTTGACGTGTTAGGCCTTCCACGACTACAAAACACCCAAAAATAGCGATGCCCTGAGCGTTAAATTTCACCCTAACCATAATGTAAACCTAAAATAAACCCTGAAGATGGCAGCTTCTTAAGCTACAAACAAAAACAAAACATACACAGAAGACTGGACATATTTCTGCCCACTTTCGAGACAGCAGGACTGTTTTGGCAACAAAAGATGAATCCAGTAGTCAGAATTTTCCCAGATTGTCTCCTGAGTGCGATAATCAAAATTCAAGTACTTTCGGTCCTTATGAGTTTTTCTGAGGAGAAAGAGACAGGATCTTTATTATGAAGAATTAGCTTCCACAAAGGCCACCATCCCCCATGCACAGGCAGTCTTGCCATCGCACACGGCTTCTAAGCACTGACCTCCATGGTCGTGTAGATCCAGTTGAGCATCGAGGTGACGTTGGAGTAGACTCCGGGGCGGCCTGGGCGAGCACAGCCCACGCCCCAGCTTACCACACCTGCCAGCTGCCAATATTCTGTCAGGTATGTCAAAGGACCTCCACTATCACCCTAGGATGGGAAAGGAGAAAGTGCCCAGGTGATCATTACTGGGGTATATGCTACAAACCGGTACAAACTATACACGTTTTACACCCCAACTGACTGCTTGAATATAAATTAAACAATATTAGGAGCACTCAAACACTGTTGGGGTCATTTTTCCTCTCCATAAACCATAACACTAAAATACATACATTTAAGAGAAATAGATTAATATATTACTATTACAATGAAAATCAACATATTATACTGCCATCATAACTGCTGTACAACAATGTATTATACTTCTTCCTCTGGGTCCCTGCTATTCATACCTAATTTTCCACTATTAATAAAGTCTTTAAATGTTTGATTTCAAAGAAAATGTTTCCTAAACTAGAACCTAGTCTAAATATTTCCCATTGTGTGTACCTGACATGCGTCTACGTTGCCTGTAAGGAATCCTGCGCAGAGCATTCTGGGAGTGATCATTGTGCTATAGACCATGGCTGAGGAACAGGTGTCACTGTCTATGAGAGTAATATCGGCCTTCTGAAGCGTATTGGACACGTGACCTGTGGAAGGGGAATGAGAAGAGGCAAGGTAAGTGGAGGAACGCATGGGTTTTGTGGGTCAGAGTGTAAAACCATTGCAAAGTTTAAAACAAAGACGTCTCCTTAAAATGCAAGAAGTCAGTTTACTGAGAGACTGGTTAAAACGATCAGTGGAGGCCTGCCTTACCGTCTTCTTTCGTATATCCCCAGCCTGTCACTACCAGGGGGGCTCCGTTTTGCAGGTTCAAGTTATAGGGGGGCAGGCAGATAGGGCGTTGAGAAACTGGTGAAGCAAAGACAGAACCATATTTTCACTTGATCATTCTATAAAAGATATGGATTCTTGATTCATTAAAATAAATTGGTTTATTTAAAGTTTCTGGTGGAATTTTTATTTCAATCCATTCCAAATCTAAAAACAGCTGGGTGACTTCAAATATTTAATTACAACAAGAGACTGCAGCAAAATAAAACATGCATGAACATGTCTCTCCAGAAATAAAACCTCAATGTAGAACTTTATAGAAGCTGTAATTTTTATTATGGCCACTAGAGGGGTCAGGTAATAAAAAGGAGACATTTGGAAACACAGTCCAGTCAAATGACAGCCCACTATTTCCTACTATATACCGTGATGTCACGGTCATGTATTTGAAATAAGTACCGTACTCTCAAAAAGTGATGCGCATACAAGAACACTAACTACTGTAATACATGACTGTAGTTTGCTGGTCTCATTTAGTCATATTACACCACAAGCAATCAATTTGCTGTTTAATAGAAGAATTTCACACTCTTTATTAGGGATGCAAGCAAATTAAGCAAAAGTTAAGTAAACAGCTTTACTACTCATAAAAAACAAGCTATTAGCTTGTAATTATTTAATAAGACTACAAACATTGACAACCCAATCTGAGCTAATCCTAATAGTGTAACTGGTAGAAAAGAATATCTAGAGCAGGGGTGGGCAATCTTATCTGCAAAGGGCTGGTGTGTATGCAGGTTTTTGGGATAACCTGTAGATCAGCTGTTAAAAATCAGGTGTGAGGACTCTTCAGCTAATCAGTCCTCTAATTAGTAATCTAATTAGGGAGCTGCAGCGAAAACCCACAAACCCATTGCTCACCCCTGATCTAGTGTCATCACAGTACCAGGGCTGGCCTGGACAAAGGGACACGGCTTACTGTACCTCCCACAGTGATGGGGTTAGTGAGGTGTATCAGGGTAATATCATAGTCGCTAGAGGTGGGGTCGTACTGCCCGTTGACTATGATCTTGTCCACGTAGGAGCCTCCCAAAGACACCACAGACGTCTGGCCTGAAACAACCCGCCACCGCGTCAGCAGTCGGTCACTGCCAGAGAGAGGAGGGGGACAAGGAGAGTTAAATGGGAGCCAGAGCCCAGGGAGTCGAGTTTATTTTGATCCAGTTTTAGCTGCCTGCTTCCCAACACCATGAGGTCTCATGTGCTTTCCTCTGACAGCGAAGGTATTACATATACATGCAGCAAATTTCAATACAATCAAGGGGCAGAAAGTTGAATGTAGGGGAGACTGGGAACAATTGTTGAATGCGGTCAGTTGCTCAGAGATGCAATGATTACCCCAAACACCAATAACATTTAGCAAAGCAGTACAACTTGGAAGGGGGGGAAAAAAAATTATGTATTTTGTGTGTTGTATCATTTTTCTACCAAAGAACTCAGAGGTTGTGCTTCGAAATGTATGGTGTTGTACAGCCAAGTCCAACAACAAAACCACAATATTGCTTTTTACGTTTACAATTCATTTATTTAGCAGAAGTTTTCTATTTAAAGTGATGTACATTTGAGAAGCAGGGTCAGACAACTCCTGGAGCAATTGGGGGTTAAGGGCTTTGCTCAAGGGTCCAACAGTGAAATCATTCTGCTGACCCTGGGATTTGAACTAGCGACCTTCTAATTACAGGCACAGCATCCTAACCTGCAGAGCCGCACCCATTTCTGCATATAGTGCTCCAGCGAGCTGCGGCGAGGACAGCACATCCATGTACCTTTACCTAGTGAAGCAGTGCGCCGCCGTGACGACCCAGCTCTCAGACAGCAGCGAGCCCCCGCAGGTGTGCTGTCCGTTGTACTGCAGGCTGACTTGCCAGGGCCATTCATCGATCATGGCGTCCACACCACCCACGATGCGGTCCTTCACTGCTGAGTTCCCGCAGTCTGACAGACACACACGAACAGGCACGATTAGCTCCTACACAGATGCAGTATATTACAGGTGCTCCTTGACTTACGATGGGTTAATCAGAATGTAATCCTATCAAAAGTGAAACACCCCAAGTCGAATGCATATGATAAACAGAGTAAATAACTACTCTTACCAAATATCTAAATAATTACTACAACTAACTAAAATACTAGTAGCCGTTTATTTTGTCCTCTTCGTGTGGGTTTGCTGCATCAAAAACAAACATTCTCCACCCTCAATTACCCTCCCCTCCCCCCAAATAATACATTTCTTTTTGGGAATGTTTGCTGGTCAGTACGCTTACTGCAATCCTTTTCAAGTATTGTAATACTTGAAAAAGTAAATGAATAAAAGTTTAAGATTAAACAGGGAAAAAAAATACTATGATATGTACTGCATGATTTGTTTACACTCACAATAGCTACAGACTGGCAACATCCGCACAATAATGCTTCCATTGGCCTGCATCAGCAGAAAGTATATGGCATATTGCTAGCCCGAGAACAGATAAAAATTCAAAGATGACTACTGATTGTGTGTTATTATTGCCATAAAGCAAGGAACTTCGGTACAGGAAGCCACAGAGGTCAAAGCACTCGAGCTGACTGAATTACAAGCAGGGCCCCACTGCCATATGGCTTCCGGCAACAAGTCTAGGCATGCATGTTGTCGGTCTGCATTCCTGTGGTCGGGGTTTGACACGCAACACAACATGACAGTGCCTATCTGCCATGCCATCCAAGCTCATTTTAAAAGGCAAGTGAAATGTAACATCTGTAGTGAAACTCACCTGAGCAGGACAGCGAAACCACGGCATTGGTAGAACAGGTCTGGCTGAAAAACCAAATCAGAGTTAGAGATTCATACGTGGTACCTGGCACAAATGCACAAACAGACTTTTTAAAAGAGAGAAAAAGCAGTTCCAATGCTGCTTGGATTAGATGCAGGCATTTTTGTCACTGTCTATTCATGTGTCCTTTAAAAATGCACGAGAAACTCGTGGAATTGTGCACAACTGATTAATACGAGATTTAGTACAGATGGAAGGGAAAATATACCTGGGAGAAAAAAGAGAAAAATCTATTCCTGACCGTAGGCTATCATTAAAATGCTGTTGTATAGCAATATTATCTAACCATAATATCTTAAAAAAAAAAAAAGACTTCAGCTGTAATAACTAATTTCCATGGTTAAATAATCAAGGAAGAATGGAAAAGATGTCAGAGCAAAATCAAATACAAACTGAGGTGAAAATGCCTCAGTAAGACAACCATAAATGACAAATGCAGGAGGATTCCCATACACTCACCGCTTAACGGCTGTTAGATTAGCAGACAAAGGACTGCTGGATGTGACTGCACTGAAGGTGGAAATTAAATAGGACGGCAAGTCTGGGACGGGTACACTGGTGCTGCTTGGATTGCTGGCGGAGAAGAAGCAAAAGTATATATTATTAAATGGGAAAATGCTAGAACAGTCAAAATAGGGTAGAATTTACAGGTTACCGATCATTGATTTTGTTTTTTCGTAAATAATGTACCAGTCATAAGTCTGGACAAACATACCAAAAATCGTTTGTTTTTCCAACAAGATAACCTCATTGTGCTTACGATTATGTAGTAAATATTATCTGGTGAACAAGGACAGAGATGGAGTGCTGTGACAGATATCGTGGCCCCCCACAATCCCCCGGCCTAAACCCTATAGAGCTGGTTTGGGATGAGGTGGATCTAAGAGTAAGATCAAAGTAGCCAACTTGTGTCCAGAACTTGTGGAAACTCCTTCAGGACTGTTGAAGGAGCATTCCAGGTGGCTACATCTGGAAGCTGTTTGAAGGAATCTGCAATGCTGTCTCTAAAGCAAAAGGGGGCTCTTTTACAGTCTCAAATTTTGAGATGCTGAACAATTCTCTTGGTTGTTGTAACATTTGATATGTATCACTTCATTGACTCGAAGTCTTCTAGTACAAAGTCAATAGCGTAGCTGAAATAGTCAACTGCATTAAAAGCAGGTGTGTCCAGATTGTTACTGGTATCGTATATAAAACATCATAAAGCCAACGGACTTTACACTGATGAAGTGTTGGCAGCCATTGTAGCTTAGCAGCTAGCTAAGCATGGCTGCTGGGACAGACAGGACTTACGTTGTGTAACCCAGCTTCTTGCAGGCCAACTGGGAGTGTGCAGCAGTCCAGCCGTCGGCACACACTGTCGTCCAGCCTGTCCCAGCGACGTGCACCTGCAGCACACTATCGTTTGACACCAGACGGACTGCAGGGAGGAGGGAGGGAAGGGAAGGATCAGAGTCAGGGCTTGCAGGGGTTTCCCCAGAACAGGCAGTACATCCTGTTCTTTGACCAATAGGTGTTCCCTATAAGCATTCACATGACAGTCAGGTTCTTTGGCCTTTGGAATTGGACAATCCCATTCCTTCTAAATAAACCAGCAGACACATTCAGTATTTTAATGCACAGACTAACACAGCTCAAAAAGCTGAATCCTTTACATCGTGAAAGTGCCTTTAAGGAATTTCGATTTCTCAACTGACTAGTTACTACCTTGCGTGTGGGGGTTAGAGTCTAATACAGTAAAACGCTCTTCCCAGAAGAGCTGCATAGAGGACCTCAAGATGGAGTTACCCCCATTGCCATACCAGGGAAGAGGGTGCGAACAGTCTGATTGGTCACACATTGCTGTTCATCTTCAGCATCAATGCAGTCTGCCTGCCCGTTGCAAGTCAGCGCCAGAGGGATGAACTTCACCGACTTTGTACAGAAGAAATACTTGCTGTCGATCAGCACTTTGACTGGTGAGATGAGACGAGGTGGGGAACAAGAGAGTTGAGAAGACAGGACCACGATGCTGATTTTTATCCTGTAGAAAACTCCAGGTAATTTTATTTGCCATTTGCACAAATGCATCTGAAATAAGTTCTGGGTCAGCAAATCAATCTTTTGCTTTTAACAGAAACAAAACATGTTATGCTACTCTGCCAATTTCACTCAAACTGCCAACCTTCTAGTCACAGCCCCCATTAGAGTGACCGAAATGAGCAAACCAGTCCTTTAATAAGGGACTGGAATAGGGAAACGCAGAAGGACTCACCGAAATATATGGTTACTGCTAACAGGGCCAGTACAACCAGCACCAACACCACAGTAATGATGGCTTTCCTCCACGCAACTGCCTTCTGTGCCTGGGACCTCGGAGCCGTCATGGCCTTTCTGCGCTTTCCAGGCTGAGGTCCTGTCAAAGGTGTAAAGAAGGGAAGGAGGCAGGAAATCAGTGACATGTTCAAGCGATATCAAAGAGCTGCAGTGTTTAAGAAGATAACCATAGCTAGAGTAACAAGTCACATCACGCACTTGATAAACTGTCTTTGCCCTTTTCAAAGGCTGATATGCCGCTCTTTAGTACTGCTTATTTTACTTTAAAATTTATTTTGCTTTACTATTTTACTCTTCTTTATTATTTTTATTTACCATACTGCTTTTTTCTTCCCCTTTTCACCCTGCATATTTTTACAAGCAAAAGGAAACAGGTAGAAAAGCATTTCATTCGTACAGTGTATGACTGTATGTGACGAAACTCGATACTGGAGTGCAGGTTTGGACATTCTGACATGTCGTAACTAACTGTGATACTGAGCAGCCTGGGTGGTTGCACTGCTCCCCTGTGGTTTCTGATTGAGGGCAGATCAAAGCAGCACTAACCTGTTGTATGTAGAGTTATACAATGTTGGATATGTAAATGGGTGGCATGGTCGCACAGTGGGCGCCATGCCCCCCCCCCCCCCCCATCTTGAGGGTTAAGGGGCTCTAGTCCCCAATGTTTTGGATGTGTAGTTTTGCATGTGCTCCCCACAATTGTACAGGTTCTCTTTTGCAGCTAGATGGTTTCTAAATTGGCCATAATGTGTGAGCATCTGATCGCCCAACTGGCCAATTCCCTGCCTTGCTCCCTGTGCTGCCTGTAATAGGCTCCAGGACACCCAAACACCTTGTCCAGGAGGCAGGTGGATGGACGGATGAGTGGATGGATATAAGAGAGCTATATAAAATTTGGGTTAAATGCTAATTCAGAAGACATAGACAAATGTACAATTGTGAAATACAGCATTGATATTGATACCTAACAATACATGGAGACAATAGTGATTCATACAAAGCTATGGCGTGATACAAGTGTGCCTCTTCATGACACATTAAGCCAAGATGCACTCTTACTTTGTGTATTCTCAGGGTTGAGGGGTGTGGCGCTCTCAGCAAGCACTGCTTTTTCAATCTGAAACACACAGTCAGAGAAAATCAGCATCAAAAGGAAATGGCACAAATGTGATTTAGCGCCAAGCTTTTAAAAAGCAGGGGAAAAACACAGGTTTGTCGTGACAAAACCCAGATCAGAGTTTTTAAATCAAAACTCGACTCACGAATCATGTCAATACTGTTTAATTAGCCGAGAAAACTACCGCCTCAACACTAAATTTTACCATCCCTGGGCTAGCAATTAAGAGTTTATTTTGAAGCCTACGGGTTCTGCCATGTTATTCCGGTATTAGATGTATACTTAACAGACATTACAGTCACTTGTCACTGATACAATCTACTTTGCCATATTAGTAGTAAAGTAGTTTCTAGACGATAATTTTAAGAGTTTTCCCCAAGTTTGGTGTTACAATAAAAGTAAAATTTAAGTTTACTAAATCCTGCAGAATACTTAAAAGGAAAGGGTTAGCCTTTTGAGATTTAAACCCAGCCACAAATCAGCTCTCCAACCCCAACGTACCGCATTGGTCTAAGGGCCCATTGTGAGACATGAGAAAAGTTCAACAGAGAACATAAATGTTCAGTGTGTGTATACAGTTGTGCATTAATAAAAATTACACAATTAATAAATTTGTCAATATCCACAGCACCCATTTGCAAATTCCTTTAAAATCGCATTCATCGATATTTTTAGATGGTACAACAGCAGAAAAGATTCAATGTAGACTAAACAAAAGAGATGATTGTTGATTCAGGAAAGTCCAGCAGCATCTTGAGGGTTAAAAGGTGAAGACTGACAGGAAGATCGAATTCAACAGGGGCATCACAGCGAGGGTCCAGATCAAATGCATCACTGTGTGGTTTGGGAAGTGTAATGTTTCAGACTCTGCAAGACCCTGAAGCTGTTAGGACAATCAACATTGCGGTACCCCCACACCTGCCTTCCCCGACTGGCACTGGTTTACTGTACTCCTTCGCAGGGATAGATTACGAGTATTGAGTGCCCCTGGGCAACAAAGAAAAGAGCTGACTGGTAGCTCATGAAATTTGGGAAAGGCATGCAACATCAAAATACTCATCTCATTAAACATTTTAGGCACACTAACCTACTTAACCTGCCAATATTGGAAAATTTGTTGACCGTAAGGGGGTGGGATGTCTGAGTAACATACAAGACTGAAGCACTAGGTCCCATGCAACAGTACAAACAGCTGCTCATTATTACAAACAATATAGTTTAAAAGTAATGAGACAATGGTTCACAGGTTAAGGTAGCACCCAAATCAGTGCCATAAATTTACAGCCAAACACCCACAGGATCATGAACAACGTGCATATACAATCTCTACATCAAATAACATTCAGAACAGACAAATTATTCAATACGGAACACAATGCAAGCATAAATCTAATATGCTCTTGAAGCTAAACTATGCATTTCATTGCAGAACTTACAGTAAAAATACCCATGTAGAGGTAGCTAGAATTATAGAACATGCAGACAGACAACGGAGTTAATTAAGGGCCACGGCACGTTTTTGGACTGTCATAGAACCAAAATGTGATTTGAACTCAACCTTGAACAATGGAGACAATGGCAGTATTCAGTGCCCCACAAATTTCTGCACAAACTTGCTGCTTCTCCAATTGCAGTTCATTACTGGGGGGTAGGGAGACTAATTTCTTCTGTGGGTTTCTCAAAATGCGATATCATTCCCCAACTAAACTGCATACAGTGGAGGAGGGACAAGTTTAATTAATGTTGTGACGACAATCACAAAAAACAGGAAGTGAAACATCTACAGTCAAGCAACTGCAAAGCAAATTCATGCGTCACATAAAAAAACAGGCATGAGCCAGATCTAGCAGGAAAAGTAAGAAGTGAATCAAAAGAAAATAAGCAGTCTGTGCATTGGAAAAGGTGACTGGTAGATGTGACCGAGATGGAGGCAGGGTGGAGCAGGTTCAGACAAGCTTGTTTGCATAACCTGAATTTCTGCTTTCTGATGAGCTCCAGCCCCAGTGTAGACAGCTTACAGTGTGTAGCAAATCCACATACTGTCGTCATGCCAACAACCCCAGCAAAGGTCAAATTACTCATTTTTCTGTACCTCATTCAGTAAATATCTAATGACAAATTGTTGAATGTACAGTCAACCCTGGCAAACTGGAAATAGTATCAATGTAATGGAATGAAGGAAAACAATTCTGTACTTTTTGCACCTTTATCATACAGTATTTATCTACAGTATTATCATTCTCCAGTAACCAATAGTGCCAGTAGTTTCATATTATATGCAAAAAGGGAGTCAAATACATGTGAACTGTAGAGGCAAAGCTGACTAGCCACTCAGGAAAGGAGCAACCTCATTAAAATGCGCATTCATCTCTCACCTGAGCCTAAACAATCCACAGCTACCGGTTTTTCCTGTTGAATGGTTCTCAACTGAATGAGCAGTCATGTTTTCATAAGTCAGTGTCATGAAACAGTGCAAGCTCGGGGAGTGACAAATCAGCCTTGACCATTATGTGAAACGTTTCTCAAACTCTCAGTGAAAGAAAAAAAAAATTTAAAAAATGTATAGCAGAGCTAGATATCTTGATGTGGCAGAGTCAGCATAAAATCAGGTGAACCAGTCCCATAACAATTCACTCAGTGACAAAATTAAAAATTACACTACAAACATTTCTAATCAGTTTTTAAAATAACACTTGGTATCACGAAGACCAAATTAAAGAGAAAGAAAAATATACCTCTCAACAGCACTTTTCCACTGATGGATCCAA